TTTAAAGGGGTAATTAAAAATGCAATAGTTTTTGGAAAACTGGATGTAATATCTTTTTCGTCAGCAATGTGAGGTGTGTTTTACAGATTGCCTACTCAAGAATTGAGGGTGACGTGATCGTGTGTTCCGCATATGCGCACGAACTACCGCGCTATGGAATTAAGGTTTGTCTTTTTTTGAAGCTTAGGATTTTTTTCATCATAGTTCTAATGGAAGAGTACCGTTGCCTTGGCGATTTTGAGTTTGGGTATCGACGCCACGTCTTCACCAACAGATGTATTTTTGTGACACAACCAAATATTGCAAATTTTCAAACATTCTCTGGCCACTTGTATGCTCCACAGTGGGTCTGAAGGACAACAAGAATTGAGGGTTGCTTCTTCCTTGTAGTGATTGGGACCGTGGCTTCATTGTTGTTGAATGTGGAATTTAATACTTTCCTTCCCCCCCTCGTCCCCCACGATTGATACCCCCTGTGTCACATTCTTTTTCCCCCTTTGTGCAGTTTTTTTGTTCATTTATTGGAGATCTTCGAACTTTCCCATATAATGGTTATTTCTTGCCGGACAACGTGGACCTAATAACTTACGGCACAAGAGTTTCCACGAGCGCAGTGTATTTTGTATTTACGGAATGGGCCATCGTTCCTGGCCCTGGTCACTACCCTCTTCCATTCCCTCACAGAGCCTTTGAGGCCTGTACTGCCTTTTACTTTACGGCAAGAAGATGAATATTTTGGCTACAAAATTTTCATTTTTTTGCTGATGATTTTATGCGTTTTCAGGTGGGTCTCACTAATTATGCGTCCGCATATGCAACCGGTTTGCTGTTGGCTCGACGCCATTTGACGAAAGTGGGTCTGGCAGAAACATACAAGGGTGTAGAAGAAGTAACCGGCGAGGACTACAATGTGGCCGATGTGGGGACTTGTTCGCCGTTCCGGGCGGTTCTCGACGTTGGCTTGGCTCGCACTGTCACCGGTGCTAAAGTTTTTGCTGTGATGAAAGGTGCTGCGGACGGGGGTATCGATATTCCGCACAGGTATTCTCGATTATACTCACTTAACTTGTTAGTTCTGTATCAT